GATATGAATATAAGAAATGAACCTTTTGTTCATGCATAAATTAAAGCTTTGTTAAATAATATTGAATCTAAATAAACAAAAGGATAAATCATTAGTGAAAAGTTGGAATTCAAAGAAATAGATTTTATTAATGAAACTATCCCAGGAGTATGGAGATATTAATTAGAATCAAAAGAAGAAAGTTATTCAATTGGAATATTTCTTAATTTATTAAAAGATACTTATGATGATTTAATTACAAGTTTATTAAATTATTGCAATTTGTAAATGGATCCTGCTGCATTAAAATAGGTTACTAATAATTAAAAATAAGTTTAAAGTTTAAGATAATAAATTGAAATTTTAGTTGATGAAAATGAAAAATTAACTAAATAATTAAATGAATTGAAACTTACTAAAAGATCTAATGAATTTGTTGAAATAAAAAGATTATAATAAGTTATTGAAGAATTAGAAGTTAATTTATCAAGAAAAACTAGAGAAATAGATGAACTTATGGCTAACTCTAAAGGAAGTCTAAGTTTAATCTAAAATCTTAGAGAAAAACTAAAAGATGTTGAAGAAGAAAACCATAGATATAATAATATATTTTTCCCTAAATAAAAGGATATTGAATAATAGACAGCTAAATTATTGGATGAATTTTTACAAATTAAAAAAGATATTGATACATACAGTTCATTGTTCAAAATGGAAAGTTAAATTAGAGAGAAAGCCTTAAAAAGTAAAGAGTAATCTGATGATTAAGTATAAAAATTAGTTGATATGTTGGGAAGATCGAAATAGAAAGTATTTATATAAAATATAATTAAAGAATAAAGAACTTTAAGAAATTATAAAGTAAAAGGAATCTATTATTAACAAAGTTCTAGAAGCTAAAAGATAGAATGTAGAAGAAATTGATAATATGAAAAAAGAAATTACTATTCACAAAGATAAGGTTATATATGAAGTAATTTTATTATGATTATAGTAAAATAGAGTCAAAGAAGTATAAGTATAATTTGATATATTGGAGAAGAAGTATTAAGATATGTTTGAAATTAATACACATTTCAATAAAAGAATTTATGAACTTGAAAGATAAAAAAAAGAATTATTAGATATCTTAAAAAATCATAATATTGAACCTGATCCAACAAAATTAAGTTTTCTAAATGAACAATTATAATCATGAATAATATTGTATTTTATCTTACTTTATCTCTTTTTCATCCATTAAAGATAATATAAAAACAAGTAGAATTTAATATTATCTTTGTAAAAATTATAAATATATAGAATTATTATAATTTATTTATTTATCATTAACTTTACAATTACTTAAGTTTCTTTTTATTATGATGTATTATAATCTTAGACTTAGACTAAAATTAATTGGAAAATCAATCAAATTGTTTTATCCTAAAATTTAAGTAAAATATGGTTTACAAAAATTTAGTTAGAGTAAAACTTTTATCATTGACATTCCTAAGTAAATACATTTATATATTCATAGGAAAAAATATGAAAAATTAATCAACTACAAGAAATTAATTTTAAAAATTTTTGTTAAAATGTTAACAAATTTCTGTTGAGTTAAGGAGGATTTTAAAAGGATTTCATTTTTGATTACTTAATTATTATAAAATGAAAATTGCAATTGAAAAATAAAATAGAAACTTTAATACTAATGTTATTGTTCCATATCAGATTCTTTATTACGTTTAATTGATGAATGTATTTTCTATAATGAATGATATTTAAATAAAACAAGAGTAGAATGAAGAAAAAGAGAAAATAATAGAATAAGAAGAAACTTAAAAAATAAATCAGAATAATCTTAAAAATTAGGTAACTCAATGTAGCAATTCCTACTACCTATACCCTGGTTAAAGCAAAAATTACTATAAAAATATGGGCTAAAAGATAGCCAATTTTATTCTATAAGAGTTTTCTGAAGAAAATGAGATTACTTAAGAACCTCATATAAAAAAGTTTTTAAAAATGGATAGTTAGAAATTCAATAGAAATTCTATATAGCAATTGATTAAATCAAAGAAAGGAAAAAGAATTTGTAGACTATTCTTCGCTTAATTTAAATGGGTTAAGCCATTTGTGGCATAACATAAGACTGAACTTGATTTGAATTTTCGATTAAATAGATAGTTTTATTAGAATCGCAAAAGCGTATCACAGAGTACTAAAGTTGAAGATTTTTAAATTAAGGAAGAAAATTGAATCTGACATTATTAATATTAAAATTTAATTTAAAAGCTTTTGAAATATAACAAATTCCTTATTTTAATTAATATATATGTGAATCTATAAGAGATCAATATATTCATTAGCAATATGATATATNACTTCTTAAACCAATAAATAAAAAGATCAATAAATTATCTAGATCTAAAAAAGAATTAATTTAAAGAATGATTTATGAAAATAGAATGAAGAATTAAGTAATTTGTCTTAATAATTTAATTAATCATTATTAAAGACTTAAGCCATCTTCTAATGATACAATACTTGAGTCTCAAATACTTAATGATATCTGAAAAATTGTTTTAATTTATTAAAGCTTAGATGAAACACAAAAAATAATTTTATTAAAGTTAAATGAATTATATAAGTTGAACTTATATTAAATAAACATTAAAATCAAAATCTTCTTATTAAGAGTCTAATGATATTTTTCCTGTTATTCAATTTTTCATTTTCTATATCTTAACATTAATCTAACAAAGTACTCAAAATTATTTTCATCTTGATTTTAAAAGAATCATCAGATTATGTAACATTCCTTATAAATTCTTAGGATATATTCATGATAAGAAACTCAGGATATTCAATATTATTTGTTAATTGTAAATCATACAATTTTAATCCAAATTTAAATTAAAGCTTAATTAATTCTTATTAAAAATATTCTCTGTATTGTTAAAATGAAAAATTATTTAAAAAGTCTTTAAATACTTCATCAAAGTAAGGATTATTGATTTGATAGTTTATTTCTTATTTAATTAAATGTCTAAAAGCTTCTTTATAAAAAACTTTTCAATTATTATATTTAAAGCATTTTCTTTATCTTCCAATGGCAATAAATGTTGACTGAATAGTTTCTATATTAGGCTTCAAGTACTATAGCAGCTTAATAGTCTTATTAAATTTTTTCAATTTTCTGAACAACGTTCATAACTTAAATTAGAAGATTCCATACTTTTTCTAAAATTGCTTGATGAAATTACAATTCCTTTAATTTTAGTATCTTAATATTCCTATTCAAACTCAGTATTTATAAGTTTTCTTAACATTTTAATAATATCTATTCCTTAATAATAACACAGACTTTTAATTTTATTTTTGTTATTAGAGAATTGAAAGCTCATAAAAAACGATAAGAAATTAAATACTTTTTAATAAAGTAAGAATTTTAATTATTAATATATATAAAAAGAAGTCTAAATATTGAAAATGTTTATTTAAATGAAAATTTTTTATTTAAATGAAAAATTCTTGATTAAATGAATTAATGATTCTAATAGATAATAATATATGATTAGTTATATGAATTATAAATGCTGAGTTGAGAAATCATTGTAAAATTTAGAGATAATTTTTTTAAAGGATAATTTTGGAGCTACTATATCAAAAATAAAAATGACAAGAGGGTTTCATGAAGATTAGCAGTTCAAGAAAGAATTTTTATAAATAGTTGATGCTCATGGTGGAGAAAATTGTAGACATTGGACAAAAGTTGCAAGAGTCTATTTTGAAACAACAGGGATTTAAGTTAACTAAACATATAAATTGAGAAAGAGATGGGAAACATTGACAGGATATAAGGAAAATCTAAGTGAGGAATAAGCAAAGATTCTATATGAAACAGGAATAAAATGTAGAGGAAATAACAAAGGTGGTTTATAGAATTTTACATAATAAACAGGAGTGAGGTAAAATTAATTATTGATATGTTAGAATGTACTTAGGAAGATATACAAAAACAATATCAAAATGGTTAAGAGGAGCAATAAAGTTATTTTAGGAAATGTATATTCATGATAAAAAGACAAGATATAGAAGATTAGATGAGGATAATTATCGTTTATCTTATGTTTCAATTCATATAATGTTGAGAGCAGTTGATGTAAATGATATTGGAGATGATCCAATATTCTAAGAATTAAAATAATGTGCAATAAAATTAGAGTAATTATTATTATTACATGCTTAAATTCATAAAGAATTCAATAAAAGGGAAAATTATGAGAATTATGAAATATATAAAAATTTATTAAGGAGATGGTAATTTAGGAGAATAATGTTTTTTTTGGATTATGTTAATGAATTAAAATAGATTAGTATAAGTTATTATAAGGAATTGGTAATTTTAGCACATCCTTTATTGAAATAATCTATAGAGTTGAACAAGAAGACTGAAATTTATTAGAAGATTATATTAGAATCTGATTGGCAATCAAAATATTAATTATATAATTTATGTCAAGGGTTACAAGAAAATTAAGAATATTCTATGTTAATAAAGAAGGCATCAAAAAAGTAAAAAGATCAAACAAATAAAGAAATATAAGATAATTTATAAGATGTAGAATAAAATATAGAAAATGAAAATGTTTTGTAAGGATATGATGTTGTTTCAAAATCTGTACATAAAGTATGTAATAAAATGGCACATGCAAGAATAACTCCGACAGAAAAATAAAAATTAAGAACTTTTCGTGGTCATTATGTTAGACCAGGATAAATTAAATCAAAGGGTTGGACTACAATATTGTTTGATCATGACCTTCCTTCAAGTTAGGATGAAAAAGAAATAGAAGATTAACAAAATTTTAGTAATTTAGATATAAAAGAACTTTCTAAAATTTACAATAGTAATTTTGATAAGGATATTTTAAAATTGTAAGGTAAATAAAGAGTAAAAAAATAGAAGAAAAACAAACCATATGCATTTTGATATAATTTTAAGAATTTATTTTATATAAAAAAATTAACATATTATGATTGATTTTAGTTATCTGCGACCTCCAGCTGATGTATATTAAATCAAACATGATTGTATATTATCTTATATTATATATAGCATACTATATAAAACATGGAGAGGGGAAAAGTCATGTTAGAAAAATATTTTTTCATTAAGAATTTGATGAATATGAAAAATAAAAAATAAAAGAGTTGACAGAAAGTATCCAATAACATAAATTAACATTGCCTCCTGAGTAATATTATTTTAAAGCTTTAGTTGGTGTTAAGAGTTGACTCTTAAGTATTGTTATTCAGGAGGTTTTGAAATTAGTAAATGTATTTAAAGGTTACAAAAACATTTGGAATGGATTAATGATGAAAATTATCAAGTCTTATCTCCAGAGGCTGAATAATATTTAGTTTTAAATTAATAAATATTCAATCTAGAAATAAGGCTATATTTATTAATTTGGAAGAGATCCATAATACAGACCAGTTGTATATATATAATTACATTTGATTTCAAAAAACAAAGTTCATGTACCCACTCTTTTAAATGCAGCAACAGCTATTGGAAATATGGTAACTAAATTTATGTATGCTCGTGGTTATGTTGAAAATTGGATAGTCATATTGGATAGTGGTGGTAGTGGATTATTTGATTTTCCATTCTCCACTCTCAATATGATTAATGAATTCTTTTCAATCAATTTCACTAGTTCATTACATAAAATGTTTATTTTGAATCCTTCCTTCTTTTTTAATTCATCATGGAAATTAATTGAAAGTATTTTCAATCTTAATAATAGAAATTATTCACCCTGAAACTGCTGCAAAAATCAATTTTCTAAAAGCTACAGATTTTTATAAATTATAGGAATTAATTCCAGCTGAAGAAATAGAAATTAAATATGGAGGTCAACATCCAAATTTAACTAATTTTTGGCCTCCTATAAATACTAAAGCTCAAATTAATTAGCCAAATGATGAGTTTTTATAAATATAAAGACCACCTACTCTTACAAAACGTACTTAAAGTTTCAAAGAATCTGAATATTTTAGTATTGATAATAATTCTAAAGAGTTTTATAATAATTCTAAAATGAAAGGTAATCTATTATTAAAGTAGAATATCGAATACATGAACAGTTTCAAGTAATTGATTAATAACACTCAAAATGTTGTTCTTGTAAAATAATGTGACAAAAAATAATTTATTTATTAAATATTAAATATTAAATGGATAGAGATCTTATTAAAGGAAATAAAATATGTTATAATTATGAAAAAGAACGATTAAGATAAATTCATAAACACAATCTTTAGATAGCACAACCTTTAAGTATTTTACTTAAAAACAATTAACAGTTAGAACCTAAATGGAAAGATTATCATAAAACTAAAATAAGAAACTCTAATTATAAGAAGAGAGATTTACTGAAATTGAAAGAGAAAATCGTATATTATTAGAAAAGATTCAAAATATAATGAGTAATATTCTAATCTCTAATTAGATAATGAACGCAAAAGAGCCACTTCTAATTGGTAAAATAATAATATGACAGCTTCAAATTTTAATTAATCATAATCAGTCCATAGGAAATAATCACTCAATAAAGAAAAAAGAAAAAAAGAGTTAGTCAGAATTACAATTGAAAATTAAAGATTAATGAACAGATTAGTTACTAAAAAACCTAATTATAATACAAAAATTATTTTGAAGCAAACCTCAAAATAATAATAATTAGTCTAATAAATAGCTGAATATCCACTTAAAAGGTCTAAGATGTAAAGTTCATATAAATAAAAAAGCATTGATCTATCAAGTAAATATAAAATATCATAAAAGAGAGTAGTTTTATGGGTTGTTTACCTACTTAAACTAATTACACACCAAATAATTAACCAATTAGAAAAATTCTGCTTTATAAATCAAATAAAATATTAAATGATAAATCATATTACATTGAGGTATTTTATGAAGATGAGTAAATATTACATATATTCATATTAGTTTATTTAAAATTACTGTTGATGATAAAGAATGTCCAAGTACAAAAGTTTTTGAGATGCCTTAAGAAGATGGTTAATTAGTTTTGAAAGAGATTTATAATAATAATATCTTATAATTAGTAGATGCTATAAGAATTGATGAAAACATACATCTTGCAGGATTGGAATAATTTGAAGAATCTCAATGATCTATTATTTTTGAATTTCACTATATTAATAAATTTTATTATATTTAATATTTCATAATAATATATTTAAAGATCTTTATAAATGATTTCTAATATTCAATAGATAATAAAGTATTGATTTTATTAAAATCAAATATATTTATTATATTTATTATTTATTGAATTGATCTTTTTAGTTTATAAATTTAAATATTTCTTATTATTAGCGCATATTATATTAATAATAAATTTCAATGAGGTAACAAGATCAAACTGAGGATCAAGTGACTCAAGAACTTTGCATAAATACATGACAACACTCTAAATGCAAATACCAATATATTGAATCTATATTTGAATATTAAAATTACTGATAAGTGTAAGATAGAAATATTTGTAAAAACATTCCTAAAATTGATAAATTTCCAAAGGCATTAAGTGTTTTGTAAGATTTACGCCATGCACCAGAAATTCCTGATGCATAATATATGCATTAAAATATAATATTTATGCATGAGCATAAAATTATCATTTGATGGATATCATCCAATGGCACCTTGTTGTAAATTAGAGCTAGCTTATGTAAATTCTCATAGATTTACTAGTTTTTCAATTCTGTCTTAATTTATCCAAACCATTGAATCAAAGATGATTTCCACTATCATCTAAACACACATAAAAACCAGAAAAACTCTTGAATGTGTTAAATAAGTGTCCAAAACTTCATCAACCAATTCTGGTAAGTCTTAAGGATTGATATAAAAAGCTAGTTCATCATCTCCAAAAACTGGTAACATGATTTATTGTGGCTCTTAAATTACCTTTTCACTTTATACTATTGATTCATTTTTCATTGGACAAACTAAAATAAACATTCTTGTAACCATATGCGTATGATCCATCCTAGTTCACTAATACAGCACCTCTAGATGATCTCAATGTTGTGACTGTCCCTCCTAATGATCGTCTTTCAGACTTCTCCATTCAATAAAACGGATTTAATGTAATATTATGATAATAAAATTATTCAAACATAAAACCTTTTATATTTTGATGTACAAAAATAATAATCAATTTTATCTTCTATATGCTCATTTTTTATCAATCTTAATTTATATTAAAAAATTCTAGTCATCTAATTTCACTAGGATTATTTATGACTTAAATTCTTTATATTTTATAGAACTTTATTCATTAAAATAAATTGATATATTAATTCATTCTAATAAAGTAATCAATAAATGTTTAATTATGTCTTTTTCTCTAAATAAAATAAACAAAATTATTTAAATTTAAAAAAATATAGCTGTTTAACAACAGACAACAAATCTGATAAAATATACTAATCTTAATATTAATAAATAATATTAAAAATAGAACCTATTTATTAATATAAAGAGTTTGAAATAATAATATATTTAATATAAAAATAAAAGAACTTTTTATGTCTAGAAAAAGAATAGAAGCTCCTCCTTTAACAGATAGATCATAGTATCGAAGAATAAGTTAAAAAAGTGTAGATGAATTAAATCAAGTAAGATATTATAAATATATTTTAGACTCTACATGCTAGAATTAATAGCATGGTTGGACTTGATGAATAATTGAGTAACAAAATTAGATAGCTTCAATCAGCCTCTCTCACAACAAAAGATTTATCATCAATTAGTTTATCATTACAAGACATGGTTAGTACTTTGTAAAAGGTTTCATATAATGAGATAATGTACAATTAAATAGTAAGAGAAAATGAGAAGTTGAAAAATGATCAATCTTATTTGAAGGCTTAATTGTTTAAATTTAATTCACTTATATAAAAAATGTAAAAAGAAAATACAATACTATTGGAGAAGATTAAATAGCAAGAGATTGATATTAATAATTTGAATAAAAAGCTTTTAGCTGAATAAAAATTAAATGAAGAAACTTGTAAGATTTATATTGAAATTATATAGCAAAGAAATTAAGGAGATCAGAATAAAGGGTTTAAATAATTTTAGAGTCAAATATAACTTTATAAAAAGATTAATTGAAAAATAATTTAATTGAAGCATTATCTGAAAATGAACATATAAAAAAAGATGCAATTTAAAAATAGAAAGATTATTAAAAGTAATAAAAATAACATAATAGTAAAGACTTTAGATGACAAATAATGCATTAAATTAAAAATTATAAAGATTAAATAATAGATTTTATATAAGTGGAAAAACATAGAATGAAGAAGAATTTATAGATTAAGAGAAAATGGTTATAACATTTACAGAAATTCCAAAAAATTTTTTATTTCGTCATGTATTTTAAAATTAGGAATGTAAATGTAATTTATATAAATAATTATAAATAGAATTTATATAATCAGCATTGGAATTTTCAACTGAAGATTTTATTCAACATATTAATTCATTAAATTAAGAAAGTAAAAAAATGTAATTAACATGGTTATTTAATCATATGGTAAATTATAGAGAATTCAGTTTAACATAAAATAATTTTATTGTAAAATTAGGTTAATTAATATAATTAACTAATTTTAATGAAATGTATAGTTTTATAACAACACTTTCAAGTTTTTTTAAAGTTTCTCATATATATCTATGGCTAAGAGATTTTTAGACTGGATTTTTCATTAATGAAAGTGATGGAAAATAAAGGAAAATTATGTGTACTAAAGGAGCATTTAGAGATAGTCTTGAATCAAGAGAAGCAGTCAATAAATTAACAGCACATAAACATATGATGTATTAAACTGATAAAGGAGAAGATTTATTCTAAGATAATACTTACATTTTTCCTGTTATTACTGATTAAGCATTACCTGCTGGTGTAATAGAATTTTCTCATCCTACTCATAGTAATAATTATAGTGATATTTAATATTTTGCATCCATCTTAGGTTTATTTGTTAAATTGACAATCTAAAAAATAGATGAAGATATTCATTAAAAATTCTTATTAAAATAAATAGATATGTTATAGAGTGAATTTTTAAAATTAATGAAGGCAAATGATAAATTTCATTTTTGTGAATTAGTAAAAGTTATGCAAAATAAAATCTTATAATTATCAACAAGTGAAATAGTATTTGTTGAAGATAATTGTTTATGGAAATACTATAATTAAAATATTAAAAAATTAGATAACATAGCTGGAGTATGTGGATAAGTGGCTATCAATTAATAACCAGCATATTATGCAAATATCTCTAAAGAACTTAATTACAATGAAATAATTGATATGTATTCAATAGCACCTATTTTCATTTATCCTATAGTTCACAAAAGCAAAACGTATGCAATTATTTAGTTATCATTAACAAATAAATAAATTGATAAATATAGATTTAAAGATCCTTTAGTAAGTTTAACTTAGATATCTAATTAAGCCAGATTATTTTGTGACTATGTTACAACTGCTTACATAAACAGATTTTTATGAGAAATTAAATTTGCATTGAAATTCTATTTATTTTTTAAATAAATTTATAAATTCAATTAACGGATAAATCCAAATTTTAAAGTACTTTGTTACCATCAAAGCCTCTAAATCACAATAAACAACTATAATATAATATTAAATTTAAAAATGTAAAGAACTGACTCTACAATCAATAAGACAAATAGCCTTATTATATTTCTGATGATTTGTCTATTAATTGCACTAATTCCTCCAAATAATACAATCGAGAATAATACTTTCGAAATTTTTGAAGTAAGTGTGACTGAATAAGAAATTAAATACTTTATAGAGAATGATATTCTCTACAATGACACTGATTAATTTGGCATAGAAACTGTATAAAATTGGTTACCCATCCAATCTGAACTAGCATAACTAAATTTAGCATTAGATTATTTTTCGAGGTTAAAGTTAGATAACCTAATTTAATAACATAATGAATTATAGATTTAAGTAGATTAATGTCTCTAATTGTCATTAAATCAAGATCTCAAAATTTTTCTAAATAAATTTAATTCAACCACTAATAATGATAGTTCAATAGTTGATTATATGAATAATTTGTTGAATAAAAGAAATAAATTGCATGAAATTTATTTAGAGAAGAAAAATAATTTAGAGAATCTTTATAATGAAGAAAGAATGCTTAAATCATTGATAATTGAATATCAAATAAATGAGTAAGATTAAAAGATGTTAAATAAGAAAATATTCAATTTAAATAAGTTGAAATACATGATTGATTAGTCCAATAAAGAGTTAAAAGAGATGAATGATAAAATCAACTATCAAAAATCTCTTGAAGAAGATGAAGATTTAAGTGAATATTATAGAAAAGATTAAGATTAAGCAAAAAAACTTAGACAATTATTTAAACCAGCTGGTACAAAATAAGTAGAAATACATAATGAATAATTATATGATCTTGTAAATGTGTTAGATTAAAACATTAAATAATATAAGAATCCCACAGAAGTATATTTTAACGGTTTGAACTTCTCACCAGAATTAAGAAGAAATGCATTATAGGATTATTAACTACAATATTCAAGACTTTAAATTAAATTAGAATAATAATTGAAAAATTAAGATGATTTATAGATAGAAATTGATGAATTGGAAAGAAAGAAGAAAGAAAAGGATATGAGATATACTAATATTTTAAATAAATTAGAAATAGTAAGAAATTTATAAAAGGGATTAGAATAAGATTATGAAACTGTGAAATTGTAGATTGAAGAAATAACTAAAGAAATAAAGAATATTATACCAATAAGTAAGAATGATAATAACTAGATATTAAGTGTTCAATATCAATATAAATGTAATTATAATCATTTAATTAATTAGAATATATTTATGAGCATTTAGATTAAGATCAAAAATGTGTAGAGAAATGTATATAATATGATTCTTTAAACTAATAATTATATATGGGAAGATATAGATAATCGTTGCATTTGATAAAGAGACATTTTTACGAATTAGATAAACTTTTTAATGAATTCAAAATATGAAAATCTTTATTAAAGATTCCTTGATTTGATAAATTTATTATTATCTAATAATAAAACTATACTATAATAATAATATATACTTTACAATAATTATTATTTAAATTATTTTCTCTTTTTTTGAAATATTTGATTCAAAAAATTGCAGATATTCTAAAATATTTTATATATTATTTGTATTATTAATTTATTAAATTATTTATTATGAGGTAATTAAATGAAGAAGAAACTAAAATATTTTATGAAAAATTGGGAGAATACATAGGAGCAAATATCAAACTATTAATTGAAAATGAAGATGATCCTCATGTTTTTAGATTGATCAAGAATAAAGTTTATTATATGTCATTGTAAATTGCTAATTGGGCAACCAATGTTGGAAAAGATTAATTATTACAGTATTAAATTAAAATTATTTAAGTGTTGGCACATATTTTGGAAAATTCACAAAAACTAAAAAATTTAGATTAAACATCACTTGTTTAGAGATTTTGGCAAAATATGCTAAACATAAAGTTTGGTTAAAATCTAATGGAGAACAATCTTATCTATACGGAAATCATGTGATTAAGGGTATATTACAATATTATTCTTTTTAGCACATTTAGCAAAAATGTCTGAAAATATACCATAGTATGCAAATGTCATTTTATTTTCATTATAAGAGAATCCATTAGGTTTTGGTGTAGCATCAAGATCAACATTATAATGTAAAGATTTAGATCCCACTACCGTTGTGGTTTTTAATTAAGCAGATTTAGGAGAATATTTAAGATCAGAAGATGATAAAAATGTTGAAAAATGATGTTTACTATAAGTATGTAAATTTTGTAAATAGAAATTATTTCAATCTTCTATATAATTAATAGGATTACTAGTTTTTTTTCTCTTTAATAATGTCTAAACATATAAATTTTTTAATAAAAAATTAAATTATTATTTTTGTAAATTTCCACATAAATTAGAATTTAGAAATGAGGCCATTGATTAATTATTTTATTAAAATTTTTTTTTCTATTTAACATTTATTAGCCAATCATTCTGTTACTTTCGATCTCATCATTTTTGTATTAATTTTTTTTAATTTTCAAAATAAATATGAAGAAACTATTTAAATAATTTGAGAGTAATAGAGCATAATTAATAGAATTACTTTTATATTTACGAATATGCTTTAAGAGGTAAACAAAAAATTTGATATTAATAATTAATTTAAAATGAAATAATATAATTGCTCGTCTGCGTTTAAAAGAGTAAAAGAGCGTTCAGTTTAGATGGCTGTTGAAAAAGTATAGGAATGGAGATATTTATTTTAAAATGGAAAGCATGATAGCTAAGGAAATTTAAAAAAGCTAACTCTCTAATAAGCAGCAGAAGAAGTGGGGATTCCTAAAAAAACTTTAGAAGACTATCACTAATTAATAAAGTATAGTGTAATTTAATATTAGAAAAGCATAAGAAATCAAACCAATTGAAGAATTATATGATCGTAAAATGGGTTACTTGAGATAATTCATAAAATAGAGTTAAATTTTAAAATAAAATACTATGGAAATAGAAACTGAAAATTTAGAAAAAGATGATTAGGTAATTGATGATGAAAGTGATGATGAAATTCCTAAATAAATAGAATAAATAGATTGTGATTTTGAGAAATACTTTAATCTTGAAAATGATTATAATTATGACCAAAATTCTGTAGTAATGACTGTTCACACTAGATCTTAATTTATTTAGATTAAATAACAGAAAATTGACCCTTGGGAAAATGAAACATTAAGTTTTGATTCTAATTTAGAAACTGATGATGAAGAATTCTGATTTTTGTAATTTAAAGACTTTATATATTAATTCAATAAATTTATCAATTTAAAGTAAAAAAACAAAAAATTATTATTCAAACTTAATTATACATATGGCTTTATAAGACTAATTGTCTTTTACCATTCATTATTATATTTAACAACTCAAATAATCTCATATCATTATCTAATTTTTATGTTTTAATCTTTCCTATTAACATTGATAAATATGGGTCTTATAATTCTATAACTTAATAATTAACAAATTTACAAATCTTAGTAAGTTCATAAAAATGATTAGTTAAACTATTTGTTAAATATTTAATTTTGGAAAAACATGATAATTTAGATATGTTGAACATAAACTCATATTCTTAATCTGGCTTCAATACAATAATTATTAAATTACTTTAATCATCCTAAAACATTGAAATAAATTTAATACAATATATTTTTATTAAAATTTCTATATTCTCTCCCAGATCTTTTATTATAATAAATTCATTCCTATATATTTATTTGGACTAAGAGTATAAATATATAAAATACTTTTGAATATTTGTGATTCTATGAATTAATATTGATTCGTTTACAAAATCCTAGGTTAAATTTGAGCTATTTCTTCTAGTAGTTAAATCAAAACTTTTCTATTTAAGCATAAAAATTTTTTCTTTATCTGCATCATCATGTCTAGATAAAGATTGCACTTTTTTGAGAATTGAATAGTCTTTTAAACAAATAGATTTCTCAGATTTTCCCAATTAGTGCATTTATCAATTTATTTTATTTTGTAAAATTACGCTACATATTTTTTATAATCTTTTCATTAATAATTGCATGATAAAGAGAGTTATTTATAACTAAAAGATTATTAAAAATATATTTGTTGTAATTGATCTCAAAATATTAAGTTATTAAAGCATAGTTAATATTTATTTGAAGATTAATTTTCTAATTGTTTTGAACATAATTTATAATTAATAAAATAGTTTTAATATTCTTTTTATTAGAATAATTCCAATGTTAATATAACAAAACTGATTAGATGATTAATATATTTAAACTAATAATTATATTATATAGAATTAATAATTATTTAGACAAATATAAGTAATATCTATTAGATTATTAATTAGATTTAAATAATAATAATTATTAATTAATCTGAATACTAAAATTGGAAAAAATAGAATACAATTAGAATTTTACAATAATTATATTAAATTAATAATTATATGAAAAGAAGCATTGCTTCTGTTAAAGATTTAGCTGATTATTTTAATGTGGCAATTTAGTAGAGAGCAAGCAATACAATTGTTGCTGGATAATACGTTGCAAGAAAAGTAGTGATATTAAAAACTAATTAGAAAAGGTTTCAATAGTTTCCTTATTTATGTAAACAACAAAAGGGAGGGATAAGATTTGTTGTTTGATTTAATATTTAGCAGATTTATATGAAGCTTGCATTAAATTTTCAAATATTCCTGAAATTTAAGCTGCATCATCAGATATGTTTTCTAAAAAAATAGCTTCACGTATTAGAGAGTCAATGAAAAATGGAAGAAAGATATTTAAATTTCTAAAATTCTTTGATTCTATTAGATGTTTAAGTAATATTCATTCAAAAAATAAACCTAAATATTATAAAATAACAACATCTATTATGCATATATGTAATTTCTTTTATTATATAATGGATCACATTATTTGGGGTATTAATATTGGTGTTTTGAAGTAAGAAATGTAATTATTTTTATAGTGAAATTGTATCTTTAAAAGCAAAATCAACTATAAAAGGATATAAAGACTCATTTTCATTAGCAAAAGCTTTATTAAAATTATTAAAATCATTTTTTGATTATAAGATAATTTATGATAAAGAAATGGAATTAGTAAAAGAAATAAAAGAAATACCTGACAAATTAATTTATGAAGATACTATTGCAGTATAATGCGCTAATAGTTTAATTAATAGTAGATAGAAAAGAAGAATTAAATAACTAAATTTTATAGTAACTTCTCTTAGAATTGTGATGTTATTAAGAAGATTAAAATTATTTGGATTAAATAAAAAAATTAGCAAAATATTTTATTCATGTAGTGGTTTAACTATAACATTTATAAACATAATGGTTTAATTAATCAATAATAATGATTTAATTAATTAAAAATTAGAAAAGAATGATAAGGAGAAAGATAAAGATAAAGAGAAGAAGCTTGCAAGAGTAAATTCTTTCATTCCTTAAAATCATCAATTAAAGAAAGTTAAATCAGAACTTGAAAGAGTCTTAGGAGAAGATTCAGAAAATGAAGGAGATTGATATGATTTAAATAAAAAAATAAAGAGTCTCTATTTAAAATTTAAAATAAAATGAAATTTATATTAATTTAATATTTAATTGTCAATTTCTAATTTTAAATATAAATATAAAATTAACACTATCTCTTGATACTTTGAAACTTTTAATATTATAATTCTATTTAAGAAAACATTAAATAAAATATAATTGTAAAATTCATGAATATATAATAAACGTCTAAATTAGATAGATGAAATATCAAATGATTAAATGAATAAAATATTTATTGTACATATTTTTTAATATTTCAAAAATTAGAGAAACAATTATAATATAAAGATAATTGTTATCTTATATATTTATAGATTTCAAAGAATCATTAAAATATCAAGAATTTGAAGTAAATAATTTATTAAGATTGCTAAAAAATAATGTTGTTAGTAGACAACCAATTTTAGAGAAGTGTTGAAAAGAAATCAATATATAAAAATTCATGAATCATGTGAATTTATTTTTCTTTTATTACAAAAATCTAAATACTGAAAATCCTAAATTCTCACTCTAACTTCTTATTCTAACATTCTTAAGTTTATTATTTAAATACATATTCTTTTAATGCTCTTTAACATGATATATGAGTTAGTGCCTTTGGTTACTCATCAGTTTCAGATTCTTCAAATATTACATCATCAGGAGAATAGACTGTCAATTTTTATTAATATATTTTAGGACCTCTATGTCCTTCTAAAATTAATGGTTCTAATAATTAAGGAGTTTCTTTAGGTCTTATTTTAATAATAATTTAATAGATTACCTAATTTAAGGTGTAGGTGGAGGTTTATCATAAGTGTCCAAGTATTCTTAGTAAGTCATAGAAGAATGATATCTCTATCTTATTTCTTATGCGTAAAGTTTATCCATAATTTTAAATATAAATAATAAAATCCAAATAATACTCATAATTTATTTATTGCATCAGATGATAGGAATTCAACTTCATCTAAGGCATAATAAAATAAAACACAAGGAAATAGATCATTATCTGATTTTGGTATATCTAATTTGAATGTTGTTTTAGTCTAAATAAATAAATAACAAATTTACTTTTTATTTTGTAAAAATCATTATTTCATTCTTAGGGTCATAAGTGCAAACTACAACATCACCTTTACCAAACTTGAAACACTTAACAACATTATTTTAATTTGCAGTTGTACTTGACCAAGCACCACCATTAGATGATACTAAATATCCTCCATGTCCTAATGATTGAAATGCAAATCCAAATTATTTACTCTAAACAATTGATAAATGACAAGCTCCAACAGCTAACCAATTACTTGTATGTACATTCTTATTATTTGAATTATAAATACATTTAATTTGAATCCAAACACTGTAACCTAATTTTTATCCAAGCTTGGATTCATTACAGCAAATTTGTAACCATGAGTAGAATTACTTGCTTAAAATATATATATTTATAATCAATATACCTTTAACAATTTTTTATTCAATTATTTCTACTTATGGATGTTTATTATTAGGCAAAAATTAAAAATTATAGGACTATTAGAATACAGATTTTGTTGTCTTTTATATTAGAAATTCTATCTATTATTATACACCAGTAAACATATATTTCTCTAGTTACTTTATATGATCACTTTAATCTTAAATATGGAAATCAAATGCTTTATTTAATTCCTCATAACCTAGATCTTAATCTGGTATATCTTAAATTATTAATGCATCTAATAACTCTTTTACAAATTTTCTAAATTATTAACTATTCTTTTAATTATTGATAATATTTTCAATTACTAAAGCTTTAAAATATCATTATTTTTAATTTACTTGTATTTCCATCATCTATTTCTCTTAATTTAACTAATTTTCGTAAATTTTCAAAAAATTATTTTTAATGATCTTAAATTTTATTCAATTTTTAAACAATTTGCTATTAGAGGTTTTGAGTTTATTCTAAAGATTTAATTTCTTAATCATTAATCTTATTTACAAGAAGATCTTTTTCACTTTATTTTAATGTGATACTTTAAAATTCTCTAAATATGTTGAAATTACATTACTTTTGTTTTTAATCATATTCACATAAAAGAAGTTTTAGTGGTTTTAATTAATGTCCTTTATGAAGTTCCTCTTAACAAATACAACAACATAATATTTAATTTTATTAACACTCTTTCTCTAAACATATTAAACTCAATATTTCTCCACTATGATTTCCTCCTAAATTGCATTCTGGATATTATATATTGCTATATTTTTTAACATTTTGTTTATCATCAGGTTTGTTCATTTATTTATATGTTTTAACCATGTTAAGCATTAATTATTTCATTTTTATTAAAGTATTAATTTATTTTTTCTATTTAAACAATGTTTATATGCTAAACTTTAAAATGAGATAAATAATCTTAACCTATAAAAGATATAAAAAACAAGAAATAGTTATGATAAAAGAACAAATCCTTTAATAGAAAAGTAAATAATAGAAATATTTACAATTAATAAGTAATTTCTATCTTTATATCACTTATGGTTGAATCATAATTTTTATAAATCATTCCTTAATAAAAAGTCTAATTTCTCTTTGTGTTCTTTCACTAAATAATTTTATGTTCATTCTATTTTTAATAAATAAAAAAGTTCTAATAATCAATTAAATTCTTAGGATTTTTGATTCATATAAAAATTC